GCATGCGTCTTTTTATCAACCTATGTGTTAATTCACAGGAATTTCTAAATATTATGAGCTACTGTATAAAATTATCAAAACATAACAAACTTGTTTTAACGAAGTGTTCAATGAAGTCAGCTGGCCATCCACTGGGATAGGGGAGGTGATGCACTGATTGTGTATGCTCGATTTATTCATTAAGTACATACAAGTTATTGATTTGTCTAATGTTATTTGAGTTGGTTTATTGATTTGTGAATGTCAATGATTACGGGTTACAGTCAGGTGTACTACTTGCTATAAGAATAACGAAGGCTTGAATCCGTGTTCCGTAATGGGAAATAGGTCAATGACGTGTAAAATATAGATGCTGAAATAACAAAAATTACAAGACTTAGTCATGAATGTTCAGATAATTGGACAATGGTGCGTATATGTGATTTGCACAGGATTGATTTTTTTTAAAGAATTATTTTTTACAGAGATCGTGTTTTGATTCAAACATTGACATGATGTAAATAAAAATAATATATTTGTAATATCCCAATGAGTAGAAAATTGGATTTTCTGACGTTTCGTGACTTAGTGTAAGTCACTTCTTCAGAGAATGTGTTATGTTGTACCTTGTTTTTCTTATATAAGCGATGACTGTCCTAACGCATCTCAGAACACTATCCGGCTTGGCTTTTAAAAGAAGAATGTAAAACAATTACCATCACTATACAGGAGCGTTTAATTAACTGTGGACACTTCTCTCCAAAAGATTCTTCCTATAAAGTAATTTACACAGTCAAAAGAACTAGATCTAAGGGGTGTCGAATCAATATTTTATACACTGCTCAGGCATTAGCAATTCATGAATTCAAGCCTAAACTTTGAGTGCAGAAACAATTCGTTCAACTTCTCATCATTTCTTGGCCTTAGTTTCCTTAATGGGTATATGCCTGGGTTTTGTCTTTCTTTCTGCACTTTTATTTGATTATTATTATTATTATTATTACCTTATACAAGTTCTCTTGATTATCATTCAGTTTATTATTATGACCTTTGTGTTTGTCGTTTTCTCTTGATATCTGTCAATTGAACAATTATCTGACCTGTAAATTATTTTCTTCCTTACCCCTTGATTAGTACATAACCTCATTTGTTATTTAGTCTCGAATCCATTTTTGTGATGCAATCTTTTCTATACTCCTATAGACATATCTATATATTTCCTTGAAAAAGCTTGGATCAGATTGCCATGCGAAACGTCGGAATTACTTCAAATTCTTTCGCTGAAATTTTACAAATACATTCTTCCTCTTTATATATACGAATGTACAGCTTAAGTAAATGATTTCATCGAAAAGAAAATTTACGTCATTGAATTCTGTTTTTCTTATTCAATGACACTATGGGTTATTTTAATTACAAACTTGATGTATGGGTGAAAATGATAATGATTGGTTGTCTGGTTAGTCAGACATGTAGATAGTCCAACTGGTGTTAGATGAGTTCCCCTATTATTATTATTAATAATAATGATTGTTCATTGTTGTTGGATTGTGTCGAGTTTTTGGTATGGAAATATATTTACATTCTAGTCAGGCTAATCACATATTCTTGATCTGAGTTATATTGAAATCCTGTAGAATAGAGAATGGGAAAGAATCTAATATAGGTATACGTTTAAGGTAAATTAACATCTCATACGTGTAAACGTTGGAAAACCCAACCATTATAACAAAACTATTAACAATACACAATCACATCGTCAATATTTTCTTCATTATTCAAAAAGAGAAACTTGAAAATGTAACCTTTTTTTAAAAAAGATTAAAAAAAAATTACAATAGTATCGAATCATTATCCAGAATATTCCTAGACAAATTCAATATGATTCCTTATAGAAATATATAGTAACAATCTGATGATTTTGGATAAAGAACAAAAGAAGAAAAGAAAAGAACCTTGATTTAGTATCCGACTATCATTATCATTCTATAAAACAATATCATCATTGAATTAAACAATTACAAAATTCCAATTACTTTTGTTACAGTCTAACATCAAGTGAATATAATTGTTTCTATGATATAAAATATTGAAAATTTTTTTTTCTTTTCAGACCAGTGTTTTTTTCTAATTAAATATAAAGTTAACTTTATTAATTTGTCGTTAAGGATAAAACGGAATTGAATTCAACGAAAAAAAAAGTAACTTGAATAAACAACTTTATAAATCTTCATAAAGATTTTGTATTAAATAGCTTTCTTTGAATAAATCCGACTCACACGTCCGCGTCGTGTCTTCTGGATAGGGGGATGAATAACTCATGAACTAACATTAGCGGTAACCCAGGTAGTGGAGATCGGGCTAATCACCCACTCTTACCGATATCCACAATCCGATTACGAAACCCACGGAGAAATACAGTACAATTACATTTGGATTGGAAAACGACAAAAAAATTTCAAAAGTAGTGCATGTAACATATGGAGTTGATTGTTATAGGGCAAACTCCGACGGACTGCAAAAACATCTATTCTAGCCCCGGTAATGGTGCTGTGATTCAACGTGGCCTGTTTCTCTCCAGAAGGGCTTAATAGGTTTTACCAACTTGTTTGGCTGGAAGGAGGGGTGCAAGCTTGCTTTGAATATTTAAGCTAATTGTTTCAATAAGTTATCTGTTTCTTTGTTTGTTTTAACGGATCATTACGTTAACGAGTTGCATAATCTATTCAGGGGCGTTTATGAAAACGTTTACGTCATTTCGTTGTATGAATTAGGAAAGAGGTCATTCAGAGATATTGTGGTTGCTCACAATGTACATCAAAAACAATATTGCTATGTTTGAAGCGGATACAAGTTCACTTAATCTGCGAACGGAACAAAGACTAGGTGGCCAAAGACCAATAAGCTAGCTATTCTATGCGTCCCAGTCCCGTTAACTAGAGGAAGAAGTTCAAACTTGAAATGGAAAAGTATATTCCGCAAAAACCAGGAGCACGAACAATAACAACAGACACAAATCAAAACGTATATATATAGCACAAAACCGTCCTTGTGAAGAGTTACAAAATAGCATACTGAAAGACACAACGGACCAATAGCATTTAAGATTCTCCTAAGTGAGAGATATGACATGAAGGTGAAAAGAGGACTTTTGGCGTGAAAACAAAGAAATTCAAATTTTCTAAATGAAATTACAAAATTAAGTCCTTTTCCAAGTGAGTTCTGGGGATCTAACGTCATCAATTTTATCAAACTTAACTGTTCCTTTTGCAAATATCAGTCAATTGTCTCACACTCCATTGTTCCTGTATTTCCATTGAAATATCAATTACTTTTTTATGCGTTTAAAAAGAGAAACATACTGAGAGGATTTTTAACAAAATACAATAGGCACAAATGTTATTTAAAAAGATTTGATGTCTACTTGAATCATAGATACGTTGAGTGGGCTTGACAGGGATGATATTCAATTCAAAAAAAGCATATGTCATTGTTGAGAAATTAAAAAGCAGTTATAATGGTTCTATTCATAGAATAACTAAAGTTACTCCCCAAATAGGACAAATTCTATGTTTACAGATCAGTTCAAAATATAACGTAATTATTACTTACAGACAGGTGTATCAATCCAGTTATTATATAAAAAGTAATGAAGAATGGATTGGACTGATTTTGAAACAAATGGATGGTAATATTCAGAGCATTCATTATATTACATATGTGATACAATCGATTTAACAATTCAGTAATATCTACCATTAAGAGATCTTACATTTGTAACTGATTTGATCATGGTGAAACCGTAATTGTATAAACATCAATATAACATCATAAAGATAATTTGCTTTGAATAAATCTTTTACAGTTATGTTTTCCTACAAACAACTTTCGCGTTTTACTATGATTATTTGGATTTAAACTAGCCTTTCTACTTTTTATCCATTTACAATACGAAGAAAATATCAGTTGAATCAATAAGAAGAGATTGATTGATGACCTGTGTTTCCTATTTGCTCTATAAACAACTAAATAATGTAGTCAATTAGAAAATGACTTACAAAGACCAAATCATGTGGTTGACAATCATGTTATAGAATTTAGTTCTCGAGACCTATAAACTACTAGATTTAATGAAATCTGGTGATTAATATTCATATTATCTATCAATTTTTTCGTTGACACTGACATTATCCCTGTTGTATTTTAACCATAGTGATCGTGACTTGTTAAGTGAATCAGTTGATTTCTTTGTGAAAGTTTGCCAACTTCAGTAAAACGTTGATTGTTATAAATATATATATATATAAACAAGTGCAAAAGACTAATTAGTGAGACTACTGTTTCTTTGAATGTAAAAGATAATGAAATGATATATAGTGTGATGATAATAATGATGATTATTATGATAAAATTAGAGCTTTTAAAGATTTTTCTTTGAGCGTGTTAGGAAAGCTTGGTTATTTCACCTTTGTAGACTTTTATAATCCTTGTTCAGTGTTTTCCTTCCTTGTTTCACCTACAATACAAAGGTTTTCTCTTTAAATAATGGAAATGAGATTCCTGTCGATAAAGTAACGCAGTCATCACGTTTATTTTATTTATAGCAGAGAAACGACGTATAACATTAACCGTATACATATTATTCAGGAGTAGATAATAAGATTCTCAAAAGCTTTTGGCTGAAAGGACTTTAGGTAATGACCAGAAAAACTACGTGTTGATGATGTTTATCGAGAAAATTTGTGTCATACAGTTTCATCTTCAAGCTCTAGTTATAAGTGAGTGTTGAGATCATAAGTCAATTGAAATTACTAAAATCTCCACAAAACCCCCTTCTGATAATAACTGAGTGTGTTCAGGAGAAACGTAAGAGCCTTAACTCTTTGTTGTATGTCCTAATGCTGAGATCTCCCTAAAACTTTACTTCCCAGTGACAACAAAAAATAAAGTGAAACTAACTTGTTCATGTTAATACTCAAATTTATTTCAAGACACTAAATGCGCGTTATACTTTATACTCAAAAGATATTAAAATATCAAATATGCTACTGAATATTTATAAGTAGTATAAAATTACATGAAAAGTAGGTAAGGATGTTAATAAGAGCAGAAAGAGCTTCACATTGATTGATTAGATATAGCAACACAGAGACAAAATAACAAACATAGAAGGAATTCAATACTCGTAAGGGAAAGAATATGTAGTTCCTATGAAACCCATTTAATCTGTTACGACCTATCTGTAACTTCCGCCCTGCATACATTTACTATATCTAACTTCGACAGATCATCCCTCTATATATAGTTATACATACATACATAGTTAGCTTGGTCCGTAGATTTGCTTCACCATATATCCTTGACATTTCAACGTCATTCCATCAATGGTGGTTAGTATTTCTTTTCAAGCTATGCTGCAACATTACTGCGCACGTTAGCATCTGATGAGAATCCATAAATCTGAATAAAAATAGATTGCCCTGCATCAATCATTATAATCATGTTTGCAAGTTAATGAAAGGGAATTAAGTGCATGAATTTTAGTTAGTTTATAATATCCCATGCAACTAATTTCCAAACCACTTACTTTCACTGAACTACTCATACCAACTTTCAATATTGAAAATAAGACTTTACCAGATGTATTGCCCTTAGTTAGACAACCAGTGTAAATATTGAAGATTCGTACAATTTTTATATCTCGTTATGGCTGTAGATGTAGTATATTGACGTTTATTACTAACTTAGCACATATCAATGAGGGATATGTTTATAAACATGTGTTTTCTCTAGTTTCCTGATAAGTTTCACGTTTCTATGGAATTTAATTATTTTACGCTCATATTTTACCGGCTCATCTAAGAGCGGTTACAACACAAACACAGGGTCCATGATAAAATTATTAATCAATAGTTTCCTATCATTTTCTTCATTTATAGTTTATCTTCTTCAAATGACATAAATGTTAATATTTTTCAGTAGAAAACCGATACATTTGCCAGTAAATTTTGTCCTTTAGTCTTATAAGGATAAGCCAGTCGATATAGGTTGATTTGATTCATATATATTGAGTGCTGAACTCCGCCTGGAGCCCCTGTGGGGCTACTGCCGTCCCAATAACAACTGGAAATAACTAGAAGGGACTGTCGAGGATAGGGTTGGTTGGAGAATGCTAGTGAGCGGCCTATGCTAGTCCACGAGGAGTAACAGACGTAAGTAATAAGTAACATCGATGCAGTGAAAAATTTCCATAACTCTAAATCTCTTCAGAAGAGCGACCAAAATCATTACCTCGGAAGAAGACAAGCTGAAAGAAAACGAGAATATAATAAACATCCTACGTCCTAATAACTTCCCTAAAATATGTTATTAATGACATATGAAAACAGAACTTTCCTTCTGTAAATAACAATCCTAATGAGATATCTTGGCTTGGTACCGTAGTTTTACCTTACCGCCAAAATACCACAGAAGAAGTACAACGGATATTAAAAACTTACAAAATTAGGACTTTCTATAAGACAACAAACATTCCAAAACGCTTTTCACCGCGATTCACTGCAGTATATTTTGCTGATTTACTATATCAAATTATGCTAGTTAACCAATCACGTAAAATGTTTACATGCAATCATTTCACTTCTAAAATTACACTTTCAAAGTAGACTAAATCAATAACCTTCAAACATTCATTTGATCTAATCTTGAATTCTAATATGTCGACTTAATATTCTTGATGAAGAAATGTTGCTAAGTGGAACAGTTGACCTGATCAAATTCATGATAACGGAACAATAACTTGATAAACATGATTTTGATTCTCTCAGTTTGGTTAGAAATGTTTCCAAATCCAATCATTTCATTTCATGAGATTTAGGATTGAACTGAAGTTTGATACACTGGAAAACCGTAATCACAAACATTTTCACTCATACAACAACACCTAAAACATGTGAATGTAGGCAGAACATAGAGATGAAATCAACTACAATATCTGACTAGTGTATTATTTCACAGATCAACAATCCTACTTCTAACTGATTCCCATTCCGAATAATCAAATCAAACGATCTTTCAGAGAAACACTTAAACTATAGTCATGAAATGTGTATTTCACAAAGTTTCATTCAAATTATTCTCATAACTTTCAAAACACTGGTCATTTATCTGTCTCTATTGTCAGGAACATATCAACGTCTTTATCTCCTTCTTCATTTTATGTGATGTTCTCGACGTCAAATCATTCATTAGAATGTGAATTTGTTTTCATTTTATTCATTGAGGGGAGACGTAATTGTGAATCGTAAGAAATGAGTGTGTTTTACAGTCAGTGAACAATGGAATTCATCATACTTAGTGTCTTCATAGATCTAACTGAATTCTTCACTTTAGTTCATGATAGCTATTTTATTATAATGGGGATTATTTCATGAATTTCCTCTTTATAAAAATTTTAGGAGTAATGAATACCTATCATTTTTTATACACCCTATAATTCATCCTGATTTAGTTTCTTTTTAATTGTCTATTAATTTGCATTGTGGTTAGTATTGCAACGCTGGACACTCGTGTTGAGATATTCAGAAAAATATCCCAAAAATTCTCCTGTTAAGTCTAATGCTATCCTTGGACTTGAAATGGTAATATTTTCCTATTGGTCAATATTTATTTCACGTGTCATTTTCCTATTGACTAAATCTTGTACAAATGTTATTTTCTATTTTATGGTACGATGTGGTCTGCTTGATTGGTATATAAACGGAGTATGTTTGAAATATAACGATGCATATCGCAGAGGCTGAAACTTGTGTTCTGGACTAAACTGGCTGGGCTAGGCGGGAAGCAGGGCCGATCAGAACTCTAGACTGCTCGCATATGTTTACGCGTCATTGATTCGATCGACAAGTCAATGCACATTAATCAGCAGTCACATGTTATAACAACTCGCTTCATTTATTATTTACATGTTCGAGCTAAATGAAATCCAATAAACTTCTCAATAGTTTCTGTTCTTTTAAACTGAAGTTTATTGATAGTCTCAGTGTTACTTAATAATTAGTCTCAAAAGATCATGTATTACAAACATTTACTGGAATAATAAAATCAAAAAAAAAACGACATGAAAACAATCAATAAACTGAGATCCTATTGATCATAATATTCGACATAAACCTTGCCTACAGTTAATCTACCAAATTATAACTCTATTTAACTAATTGAAATACAAATGAATTAGATCATTTATATAAAAATACTAAATTACATTCATATAAATTCAAACTACTCTTGTATCTTTTTAATCAATAACTAACCAGATGACTGGTTACTATAACTACTGAATATTAAACTACTGAAATGAATCTTGTATGATGATCGCTTGAAGTTTATTGATACAAACATCATTCATGATAGAATATTAAAATCAATTCAATATGATCATGTAACGTGTAGGATAAAATGTGTTCGTTTATTTCTAAAATAAGTTTAAACGACTGTTAATTCAATAATTCATTCTTATTGTTTGTTGATAAAAAGATGTTTAATATAAATATTTCTACAAACTTCATATATCAGAAAGGGTTTTGTGGAGATTTTAAACATTACACTGATTGAAATCATGAGACAATTGAAGCTAGATCACCATAGAAAACCTGGAGGCACTGGGCGGCCGTTTCATCCTACTATAGGACTCCTCAACACTGCGCATCCACGATCCCGCACTCCGCGAGATTCGAACCCAGGACCTATCATCTGCTCACTACTAACTGACTTCAAGAGATTGCCCTGGAGTTCTAGTGAGAAGCCGTTACCAGTTGAGTTCAGCCAGGTCTGTTGTGAGATACTGACTCACTGAAGACAATGGTGTACGGTGGCGCGACTTCGTGGATTGGTCGAAGTTAGACATTAACACCGTTGGATGCCGGCGGGCTCAGTGGCCTAGTTGATTAAGAGCCTGGCGCGAGACCGATGGGCCCTGGGTTCGAATCTCGCGTGGTGTGGGGTCGCGCATGCGCACTGCGGAGGAGTCTCATACTAGAACGAAACGGCCGTCCAGTGCTTCCAGGTTTTCCATGGTGATCTAGCTTCAATTGACTCATGATCTCAACTGTTGAAATAACAAAAATGTTTCAAATATTTAGTGAGAAAATATACATCGATAATTGAAGGATTCGAATGAAAACATGCTAATAATACAGTTTGTAACAAAACAGACAAGGGTTTTAACTGGGTATTAAAATACGTCTTTTATGACATAACATTGATGACAAAAATAAACAATCATACCAAATCATTTACTGTTATTAATAAAAAGAAAAACAATATGACTTTTACATGATATACAGCAATAAAAACATTGAATAAACGTGTAGACATACGTTTGTCAACCGTTTACATACGTTACTAATGCTTCATGTAATTAAGGCTTAGTTTCTATTAGTCATAATACAATTTTCTATTTTAAGCAAGTATGGATAGTATCTAGTAATTGAATATAGGATACATGTTTCATCCTATATGAGACTTATCAGCTGAATATATGTACATTCCAGAGTTAATTATTTTCTCCTCAAATACCACTCAGTTATCCACTTAACTACTTCAATTAAATTATCATTTCTTGTTAGGTTTTAACAAATCAAATAACTGTGAAACAAATTGTGTTAAACTCAAACTCCGCCTAAAGTCCCTCCGGGGGCTACTGCCGGTCCCAAGCCCGGATAAAGGAGGAGGGTTGGGCAAGGGGTTAGCGTCCCCATCCCGTAGAAAACTAACTCGCTAAAAAAACGCTAACCAGAAAATTAAATTATTAAAACGTGTTTCTATGCTTTATAATGAGTTTAGAAATGCTAATAGAATATTGAAAAAACAAAAAATATTTCAGTGAATGATTGTTTACAATAATTTGGTCATCAAACTCTTCAATCATAATTATCAATATTCGGTGATCGAGATTGTTGAATATCACTAATATCATGAACTGATTTAAGTTAGACTACAACAATTATTACTCCATAATTATTGTGTTTTGTTTTGTTTACAAAGGTCAAAACAAACATATACATTAGTGAATTAGATAGTCATTTGTTAAAAATAGTGAAACTTGACCTCTGTTACGTTATGAAGAATTCAAAGTTGTATCATTTGTAAATCACGGAGGTCATTTATAATGAAGGTTAAAATGATTCATTTTAAAGTTTCAAGCTATCATTAATAAAGTAAATCGTGTGAATAAAATGTATAGTGGGTGAATCTTGTCTCGTTCATGTAGATGGCAATAATGATAATAACCTTTTGAGAGTATAGGATGAAATAAAAGGCGTTCTGTGGACCTAATTATGATGAGAGACTTATATGAATTGGTATAGACGACTGTGTAGATTAAGAAGGATGTAAACACAAAGGTGTTGAAGAAATGATGGATTTATAATAACCAGTTTGGGTATCTGGTTATTTAGTCATGGATTAAGTTATACACAGTAGTTGAACATACGTTTTCTCCTTCTAGATACATTAGTTAGATTTTATTGAGCTGATCCAGATGGCTTCAGTTATGTAGAGGAGCCGTAGATTGATTGGAATGCGATGTAAGACAATCACAGCTTTATCTGTTTTGATATGATAGTCACCATCTACTAAGCGAGAAATGATGGTACCGTTAATAAATTTCGTAGATCCTTTTCCCAACAGTGCCGGTACGTGTTCACAAACAGGCAAGGACAAGGCCCTCTGAGTGTAATCAGCTCCAGAGGGGCAGTTGAATTGGTATACACGCATGGAACAGTTCATCAACGGTATGGTAACATATCCTTCATTCGTTGTGCAAGGACTGTTTTGGTTGAGAAGTATACATTCAACTTGACGGCGTTTAATATCCCCCCCCCATTAAAATCGAGTTTTAGATAAAGTTTTCCTACTGACTGTGTCTGTGTTTGGTCTATTTTTTAGTCCCGATAGATATTTTTTTGAGGAAATTACCTGGATAACCGTTATTCCGTAATGTATTCTTCAGTTTCTCTATTTCATCATCTACACTACCCTCAGAAAATTATAGTCTTATTTTGTGGTTGAGACATTTAACCAAATTTATTTTGCACTGAAGAGTTGTAAAGCTATCAAAATGGATATACCGACCGGCCCATGTATTCTCTCTAAATAAATTTCTCTTTGTGTAACCTTTTGTGGTTCTACTAACTTGGGATCCTGAAGAGTAACTGAAACAAGGAGGGCCAAAAACATACTGCACCGAGAATTGGATGATGAATAGCAACTGGAAAAAACTGGAAAGGATTTCTCAGGACAAAGATCGATGGAGGATGTTTGCGCATGGCCTATGCTGCTTCACGAATGGTAACTGATTTAAGTAAGTAAGTTTTATCTTTCTAGAAAGCAGAACATCAAGGAACAATACATAGTTATCATTTTCCTCTTACCTTACGAATGTAATAGCTGATTGAATATTATTAAAACTGTTTCCAGCTCTTTGTTGTTGATACCTTTATCACGAAAGGTTACTGTGTCATATATTTATCGACAGTAATAAGCTAGTTCACTCAGAATGTCTTTTAACGGTCCATACTACACTCAAACTAAACCATGAACGAGACAAAATTCTCCTATGTTGTATCAGAGCGAAGAATAAATCACGAGTAACTTCTGAGTCATTAATCGACTAATATTATCTATACATTCTCATGGTATAACTATTCAATAATTAGATTATGTATATTTATATTCCGTTTATTATAAGCTTCATTTTGACATATCATTTATTATTGTACGATTTAGTGTTCGTAAACTATGTTCAGTTTATTGACTACTGTCTCCCAGGTTCACAGCCACATTTGGCCAAATATTGTACAAATGTTATTTCCTATTTTATGGTGCGTTGTGGTATGTTTGGTTGATATATAAACCTAGTATGTTTGAAATAAATGATTCGATTCGATTCGCATATTGAAAGCTGGTATTGGTGTTCTAGACTCAAGTTGACGGACTAGAAGGACATAGGACCAATAAGGACACTATGTTGCTAACACCGGTCGGATGTCATTGATTTGGCACAGTGCTAAAATTGCATTTTGATTGGTGGATAAATCACTAGCCGGACATAAAGTCATAACATCCTACTATGCATTTTATTCACATGATTTACGTTATTCCTATTATATTGAAACTTTAAAATGAATCATTGTAACCTTCATCATAAATGACCTCCCTGATTTACAAATGATACAACTTTGAATAATTCATGCCGTAGCGGATGTAAAATCTCACCATTTTTAACAAATGACATTATCTAATGTATGTTTTATTTTGACCTTTGTAAATATGGATATGAAACTGTAAAGCCTGATGATGAATTAATTATCAGAATGGGTTTTGTGGAGATTTTAGAAAATTCACTGATTGAAATCATGAATCAATTGAAGCTAGATCACCATGGAAAACCTGGAAGCACTGGATGGCCTTTTCATCCTAGTAGAGAACTCGGGATCGTGGATGCGCACTGCTGGTGGTCTAGCTTCAACTGACTCATGATTTCAATCAGTGAGATGAATTAATTGACAACAATTGTACCCCTTTCATCTTAAACAGAAAAAAAAACAAAGATCAGTGCAAAATAATGAATGGATTCATTTTATTTCATTAGATTCTCATCAGAGGTTTACAATCTATTTAATATTGTAAAGTCAAAGTTATTACTGACACATTTGTAACTATGATGGTGGATTAAAGATGAATAGGTGCATCAAGATATACTTACTACTTAATTACGCCTATAAGTAGTAAGTAAGTTCATCATGATATATCAAAGGGATGTTATCACATTTTACAGAATAGCAATGTACAACCACATTACAGATTAATACAATCATCACAATATTGATTATGTTTTACAATGTTTTACACCATTTCATATAAGAATGCATACATTAAAATGTCAGGAAAAATAAACACTTCAAACAGAACAAACCAATCAGTTATCAAGAATGAGAAAAATTATACAATCTGAGTATTAGTTAACAATCCAATTGTTTGTTTTACTAACACATGACAATTATGTAATCAGTTGCATCTTAGTAAAACAAACAAGTAAACAAGTTTCCTTATTAGAACACCAACGATTCATTCAACAGAAATGTATATGATTTCAGTTATATAATCCATTGTATGACATGAAAATAGTTAGAATAACAAATTTGATAATGAATATAGTAGGTGATCTGTTGACATTGGCAACACTTTTCTAGAATACAATTAGAAAAGATGTTGATATGAGAGTTGAATGAAAGTCAATTCAACGAAATTGAATTGTCATTTACGATTTACAAAAAAACAAACATACAAACAAAAACAATCGCGTTGATGAATAAACAATCCAAGTGATGCTTTGTAACTATACAAACCACACGCAATTGATTTGAAATTACGTAAACCTACATATAACTAGTCATTTCATGTGATAACAAATAGAAAATAAATGTTATTGTTATTCATGTATAGGCTATAGCAACTATCCTGCAATCAATTACCATTATGGTTAATTTTGGTTAAACCACCTATTTTCGGTTGAAATCATGAATTAATTCATGTTAGACCACCGTTGCAAACCTGGAAGCACTGGACGGGCGTTTCGTCCTAGTATGGGACTCCTCAGCAGTGCGCATCCACGATCCCGCACCCCGCGGGATTCGAACCCAGGACCTACTGGCTTCGCGCCTGAGCATTTAACCATTAGACCACTAAGCCGGGATCCGATGGTGTTAGTGTCTAACATCAACCAATCCACGAAATTGCGCGACCACCTTCCATTGTACTGAGGTAGATAGCTGTCTCTACCCGACACGGATTAGCTCCACTGGTCACGATTTCTCACTAGAACTCCGAGAATTCCCTCATGAAGCTAGTCACTAGTGAGCACATGTTAGTTATCAGTATGGGGGTTGTGGAGATTGTTAAGTTTTTTTTGGTTGAGATCATGAATTAATCGATGTTAGACCACAACCCCCATACTGATAAACCATTTTTATTAACTTACTTAACAGACAATGTTAATTGAATAATAACAATTCGCATATTTCTCTGTACTATTTTATAAACACTATCATATCTAATTAAACGTGTACTCTTGATCACATGACAGACTCTAGCCAAAATATTGATCACTTAAATATTACCACCCAATGATTCATTCTCTTCCTCATGTATATATATGTACGCAAATCTTATTATTAGTCTTTGCTTTGACTTGTTGTGCTCTTATGCAATTTGATTATAAATTTACCTCTGTATTCTCTCATACATATACACGTTCAATTCACTGCTTCAAATTCACTTGATGTGTTTATGGCTTTGTTATCCATGCTATCCGCAAATAAACTGTAATTACTCCTTATATGCTTTTTGACTTCACACACCATGAGACTTATATAATAGAGATTACGATGGTGATCGACTAATGAAGCTTTAACATTATAAGGCTATAGAAATTACTATTTTTTGTAACCATCTTATATAAATTTGGTATGGCCGACAAAATACATGATAACAATTATAATATGAATTCATAATTCACAACAGAGACTCTTTTTATACTGAATAGAGAATTAGAATAATCAACAAATTGATTGATAGTAACTTAGTGAGTTTAAGGGATTCAAGATACATTGTCACTTACTTAATTTGTAATTCATTTTGAGGAGTTTTTGACAATTAATCAATACAAACTTGATCTTTATGTTCATAGATGGTATGTTTAGTTATTTACTAATCTTATCATGGTCTCACAACAAACTCCTTTTTTATTCTCGAAAATCTTTCCAACTTGTACTATTAACTTCATTATATAATATCTATTCTTTGAATAGACAACTATCTGACACATCTATCTTTTTATATTTTATTTTCATTCTTGTTACCATTTACTCAACACTAGATTTTTAATGAAAGTTTTTTGACTTTATTGATAACTCATATAGTTCAAATCCTGTGAGGCGAGGTCGTGGATGCGCACTGTTGAGGAGTCCCATACTAGAGCGAAACGGCCATCCAGTGTTTCCATGTTTTCCATGATGGTCTAGCTTCAATCGACTCATGATTTCAACTATTGAAATCATTTAGTATTTATATTACTATAAACTAAACCATAAAAACGATTGCATATATATTAGTAAATTATATCGTTTGAGAGATGAATTTATTTAGTAAAATTGACTTTAATTTGTTTATTCGGATGATAGATTTCTATTATCATTCATAATTGAGTTCGTGTTCTATGCTTCGATAACATCATAGTGTATCATAAGGAATTGTGTAGAATGGTATGAATATGATGATACAATAACTGTATGATCTGGACAAAAAACTTACATGAATTACCAATGGAGCAACTCGACAAACACTGCCATTATTAGGAGCAGGTTTCAACTTAAGTATAAGACAAATCAGTGAGTAAATATCAATCAGTCTGACTGTTTCTTCTAATTCTGTTGCTTGAGTTTTAGATATCTGAGGTCCCATTGCCATTAGAAATGGAGACATATCTTTGTAATCTGGATCATAACCATGAGAACCTTTATTTTCTATCAACAGACAATTGAAAATAATGAGATTTACTGCCCAAGTTTAATATCTCAATGTGAAATTTAATATAAATTTATAGTTTAAAAAGCAAGATATATTTCGGTACCACTGTAAAAAGATAAATGCTTTAATACTTCTGCATATCTTTCAGATTATGAAGTCATACAAAGCTCTAACTTGCAGCTAGAATGACATATTACTATGATGGATGGTGGATAACAGTGAGATCCAGGATGCGCGTTCCATCCTACTTGGGACTCTTCAGCTGGATGTACCTGTGTCTCAGAGTTGATGTTCACTCTGGAACTCAAACCCAGTACCGTTCACTCCAAACGCCATCGCTCTATCCACTCAGCTATTGAGTCCTGAGAGCCATTTGCTTGTGCAATGGGATGAAGTTTAAATTCACTTGGTATTATTTTACTTGTATCACATTATTATTTAGGACTGCAAAGATGTATAGTGGTCAGTAGTGGAATCCAGGACGCGCGTTTCGTCCTATTTGTGACTCATCAGTTTTGCTAACAAAGCTTGTGATTTAAGGCTATATCCCACACGATGTACATATGTTAACAAGCGACTGATCAATTGCAGTCAGAAATAACAATGGGAAGATACAAGTAAAACAACGTCAAGTGAATTTAATATATGACTGTGTTTAAAACCTATCGTTTGTAATTCAAAACTATTCAAATTCATTTATTTTACTTAAAAATCTGTTACATTTTAGTTTAACATGGTGAACGAATGTTCTTACAGTTAAATATATAATATCCATAAACACCAAGATCTGAAGAAGTCATATGACCTTTATTTTATATCTGGGGATTGTTAAGATTATAAACGGAACAAAATTGCATAGAATAAGTGAATGAAGTATGGTGATTAAGAGTATTTGAATTATAGTACGAACTAAGAATCCTAGAAATAACGTATTCAGATCAATAAGTACTAGATAGGCACAAACGAATGTACTTTATTGAGAATTCGAAATCAAGTATTCAACAAGTACAAAGGAATCGTTAGTTCATTCAAACACCACATGAAGTTATAGGACTTTTCTGATTTATTGTCGGTTGTATAAATCCGAATTATACCATCTTTACACATGCGATTTCTGTTACATAGTGATTTATGAAACAACAGCGGATATTCAATTTACTTACACCAATTCAAAATTCCAGAAATGTAAAAAGCTTCAACTGACGAATATCAAATAGTTTTGTTCTCGGATAAACATAAATATTAATTTGAATATTCATAATGTCTTATTCTCAGTCAGAATGAGGATTTGTCGAGAATGTAGTAATTTTAATAGTTGAATTCATGAGTCGACCCTCATTCTAATAATGATCACGTTCTGACGAGGGGCCAGCTTCAAGGTGGATTTCCTTAAGCTCTAACAAGAAACCGTGACCGATGGAGTCTAATCCGTGTCGGCTGGATACACTTATATACATCAGACAATGGATGAAGGGTTGTGGAAAATCATGGGTCGATTGAAGTTAGACATTAACTTTGTCCCGATGAGAATCTATTTCTGGAGTAATACTGTACATATATTTTTATTGTATAATTGTTAATTAGCTAAACTATGCATATTCATGTTTCTCTTATTATACGCTTTATTTTGCCCCATGCACTATTATTATACGATTTACCATTCTTAAGTTATACCCAGTTTATTAATTACAGTCTCCCACATTCACAACCACTTTGGGCTAAATCTTGTACATATGTTATTTTCTATTTTATTTTACGATGTAGTATGTTTGAAATACATGGTTCATATCTCAGAGGCTGAGATTGATGTTCTGGGTTTAACAGGAAGGGCTAGGCAGGGAGAAGGATCGATAAAGACTGTAGACTGCCGTACGGGTTGATACGTCATTGGTCCGGTCGATAATTCACAGTTCTCTAATTGACGATATCATCACGTTATATACGGCACGTTATACGGCACAAGGCCACAAGTTATAACAATTAACACTCTTGAATGCCCGGCTCGGTGGTCTAGAGATCATACGTTCACGCGTGAAATTAAGGGTCGTGAATTCGAGTCCCGCGTGTACGACCATGGATACGCACCACTCAGGAATATCACACTAGTACGAAACGGCCGTCCAGTGCTTTCAGGTTTCCAATGGTGGCCCAGTTTAGATTGATTCATCAATTCAACTATCAAAATCTACTATTTATTCAGATAAATTCACATCTGCTATAGTTTCAAACAATGTACTTTGCTCTAAACATACTCACTTTTTGATTATTAATTTGGATATATGCTTATAAAACCTGGTGAGAAATTACTGTAAAGAATGTTCTTCGTTCATATATTGGTGTTTTTATTCGGATCAACCAAATCACAATTATAATTTATTATGAAGTGATCAAATGGAAACGGAATTCTAATATTTCAGCGTAATGAGAAGTTCAGTATAGAAATGAAGTATCTAGTTTTGAATTGCAAATCAAGATATGTTTCGAAAACATAATAGAAAGGTGATGACTTCAATGTACCTGTGCTTTTATCTTCATGATATTAAAAAAAAGAAAACGTAAATTGTATACAGAAAGACGTAATACCGTGTATTAATTCCCTATTCATAGCTTAAAACAATTCGTTTCAATGAATTTTTGTCTGAAAATCTGTCTCAATTTTGACCTCACATTACAATACTTTATTTTTCTTTAGTCATGGCATAAATCCATGAAGTTATTGACAAGTGGACTGAGTCATGTTAGTAGGTGAAGACTACTTGGTTGGGATCTGCGAGACGATAGCAACCGTTGGTTACAGACCTTGAATGACATGGCTCAAAATCGTTTGCAATGGCTCAGGTGCATCCATTCTTTGTGTTCTCCCAAATTCAAATCTTCTGATTTTTTCATGTCCCTTTTTTTTCTCCTTCCAAATTTGTTTCACTGGATTATACTCCTTGAATAACATCTTCAAAACATAATGTTTCTAATTACTCCTCATACCCTTACTGCCTCTACGATTACGGGATTTAAATCGACAACTGCACCTCTGTGCTAATGTGGTGTGACAACTCGTACAATTTCTACGTTGTTATTGACTGACTAACTGACTTTTTCTTCAGTAGTATCGATAGTTTTACAAAGGCCAAAATCAATGACATGAATACATACTTTATGAATTTTACGAACCATCTTGTCATACTTTTAGAACTTGGTGAAATTTAACACAGTTTTGCAGGATAGATCTATTAAAGAATTAGATTTTTGTAACTGGCTATCATTTAGTCTAGAGTGTAGCAAAATAAACTTTAAAATACTCACTAACTACCACCTTATAATCAATGAAACTTTGTAAAACATTAATTATGATCATCAGTAGTTATAGGCGGACATCCTTTACACTGCATGACTACTTCCTCTACTTATAAATATACTCTATTTTTTACTGTGTTATTAACCAAAGCTACTCTTTGTCTTATTCCTCTTATATTATATCCCTTGATTCCGTTGCAAACTATTTATAAATGTTCACTTACTCAATGTTACCCCAGAATTTCTGTCAGCGATAATCGTCCATCCAATGTCTGCATATACAACAACAGGACCAACTCGATCACTTGAATCATAAAATAAACGTGTTGGTAGTTCCTCCTTCAAATAAACATTTAATCTGAGGTGTCGGTCTTTCAATTTGTTATATAATGATAGCGCAGTATGTCCTAGACTTTGAAAAACGTTAGTGGTAAGACTTACCTTGTGTTGGCCAAAGAGTCCAGATTTCCGCTGACTTCTTAGGAGCAGATGTATACTCATTCGGGTGTATGTAATCATGAAGATATATAACTCTGTCTGAACTGACGTTCGTCATTCCATGATCACTTGATAAAATGAGATTGAGGCAGCAACTAAGTGATGGTCGGTTTTCAATCGATGTCAAGAGATAATCTAGTCCATGGTTTATCTCCTCAATAGCTTTGAAAACCTCGTCACTTGCCGCTCCATAAATATGTCCTGCTCTATCAGGTTGATGATAATACATAAGACCGAGGTTAATATTTTCATGTTCAAACCAACCCATCAAAATATCAATTCGCTGATTGAATGTAATGTTCTCATTGTAGGGTGCTAGATAATGAGTTGGTCTCTGGCCTTTGATTTTCGCCTCACTTCCAATCCAGAAAGTCACTCCACTTTTATGACCATGAAACTGGTTCGTTACCCAAATCGGTTCAGCTCCAACATCATAGAATCTAGAATCTGATGCTGTAGACTGATTTCTTGATGAAAATGTTGCATTATCAGTTGGATCATAAAACACATTATCTACTATTCCATGACTTTCAGGGTGCAGGCCTGTTACCATTGAAAAATGTGATGGGAATGTTAAAGTAGGGAATTCATTTTGTATACGTCTTATGTAAACTCCTTGACTTTTAATCTTTTCAAATGCTGACATGTTTACACTTCTTTTCTCAGCCAAATCAAAGTAATCATAACGAAATCCATCAAGAGAAATAAGTATCACTTTGGGAAAATAATGATGTATAGTACGACTAGAAGCATAGATTCTTTCAATATAAAGAAAGAAACAAATCAATAACAGGGGAATAATTTTTTGCATAGTTTCAATAAAATACGTAGAAAACATAAATAACTGTCTTAGTTTAACATTTATACTCAACTATTATAGTTTGTTTATATATTATATTCAATTATGCCAGTTAACCAATCACGTAAAATGTTTACATGCAATCATTTCACTTCTAAAATTACACTTTCAAAGTAGACTAAATCAATAACCTTCAAACATTCATTTGATCTAATCTTGAATTCTAATATGTCGACTTAATATTCTTGATGAAGAAATGTTGCTAAGTGGAACAGTTGACCTGATCAAATTCATGATAACGGAACAATAACTTGATAAAGATGATTTTGATTCTTTCAGTTTGGTTAGAAATGTTTCCAAATCCAATCATTTCATTTCATGAGATTTAGGATTGAACTGAAGTTTGATACACTGGAAAACCGTAATCACAAACATTTTCACTCATACAACAACACCTAAAACATATGAATGTAGGCAGAACACAGAGACGAAATCAACTACAATATCTGACTAGTGTATTATTTCACAGATCAACAATCCTACTTCTAACTGATTCCCATTCCGAATAATCAAATCAAACGATCTTTCAGAGAAACACTTAAACTATAGTCATGAAATGTGTATTTCACAAAGTTTCATTCAAATTATTCTCATAACTTTCAAAACACTGGTCATTTATCTGTCTCTATTGTCAAGAACATATCAACGTCTTTATCTCCTTCTTCATTTTATGTGATGTTCTCGACGTCAAATCATTCATTAGAATGTGAATTTGTTTTCATTTTATTCATTGAGGGGAGACGTAATTGTGAATCGTAAGAAATGAGTGTGTTTTACAGTCAGTCAACATGAAAATACAATGGTCACCATAACCTTTCATCATACTTAGTGTCTTCATAGATCTCACTGAATTCTTATATCCATTTTAAGGGAACCATTTTGTTGTTCTACTCAGAATTCAGTTGATGAAACTTTCTTCACTTCACGATCTGTCCGTACCAATATCCCTTGTCAATGTTTAACTCTATAATAAACAAAAGATAACGTTAATGAGATATCTGTCCTATTCGACTTCAACTATATATTGTAGTTAAATCCCTTTAATATCAACGCGAAAACCCAACTCAGTGAATGATGGGTGATTCATTATGTACAAACGAAAAAGAGGTATAAGTACAAAGATAAATACCATCATATACACACGTATAAGTGAAAGAATGACCGGAAATATCTGGAAAATTTATCTGTCAATTTGTTGGAATAAAACGCCTATGAGTGTAATAACAGAGAAACTTCTACAAATAACATTTCTTGCATTTACATTATTACGAACATGTTACTATAAGAACATTTTTTTTGTTTCACAGGGTGTAGAACACGGTTATATGTCAGTGTTTACCGAGTTATGTAAACAACATATCCCACAGATAAACATAATAATAGGTTCATCAATGTTTTAAACACCGTATTCTGAATACCTATAGAGAAGAACTGAAAAAGCCTATCTAATCAAAATCTTTGAACAATAGTCCTTGTTGAACTAGTGTTTTATTTTCACATGAGAAGAAATGAGGATTTTGTAAGTAACTGGGACATTCAAAATGTGTAGTTCTCATACCGTCAAATGTACTAACGGTGAGTCACCGGTTTTATGTACTCAACTAGAAAAGCTATTCAGATTATTTTTCAACTACATTTTCGTAGAAGTTTTAATAATTAATCATTCTTCTTAAAACTAACATAAGTCATTGTTAGTCTGAATATATATAACAATCTGAAATGCAATGTAAGATCTTTCAGAATGAACAGGTTCTTCAATTGTATTGTAATCCATATGAGTAAGGTGATAGAAAGTTTTAATTATCCATGCCGATTATTGATTGATTAATTACCCTTTCACTGTAGAACTGATGACCTTCTATTCTACTGATGACTCATTGACCAATAAGCAATGACCGGGATTTCACCACCTATCGATCATCGGACTACTTTCAACTAAGTATTCAATCACAAAAAGAAATTAGCAAGCGGTTAATATCTGTATGATATACTTGTCTCTAATGACTGAACTGGTATAATAATGAACAGTAATTTCCTGACCACACACAACCATAATTAAAAATGCACATTGTAACCAGAACTGTACCATAAGTCAAAGAGAACTGAGTAACTGTTATATAACTAACTAACTATTAATAACTTAGTGAAGGTAAAAAGTAATAACAATAGTTTTTGTAGGCTTACAATTCGAAGTGTGGTGTGTGCTACTTATATTTACATAAGTAGTATGTGATGTTAGTCGTAAACAGGAGGTCTGGCAGCAGAGATCCAAGAGGATCGAACAATAAAGAATGGAAACAGAATGGCACTTTGTATGAAAATGCAAGAACAATGAAGTCTGAGTTATTTTGAGACAATTGATGAACATTTTGCAAATTAAGCATTTACTTGGTGATTGTTAAATTTTATTAACAAGTCCTGTAATTTTGTGTTAAATACATACGATTGTTTCCCATTGGTGTTCTTGTTCACTACAAAAGAATATAAGGCTACTATAATCTTAGCGTCTAATATACAAAACATAATACAGAAAGTGGTCACTATAGCTTTACATTTATCTATTCTTTTCGTATTCAGCCTCATTTTAACAATAATCAAAACTATTCGTATAAAGATAAAGCTAATTCTACGTCACTAAAATACTGTCAAGTAAGTTGAATTCACTATTCCCTTTTTTGGAGTCAATATGAATGGAGTCTGTGTTTTACATCATGACTTCATATGGACTACAAGTATTCACTACATAATGTACCAATAACGTGAATTGATCGGAATACAATATTTTTGTAAATTTTCTCACTTCATTTATTGATGGTAGATCCAATTAGCTCATCAAATTCTCAGTTGCTCTGACAGATTCACGTGAAATAACATGTATTATTGATGTGTTATATTTCACATCAATTCAGTAAATTATCAATATAAAATCACTTAGTAACTATTTTCAATAGACTCAAAATCATCTACCATAAGTGAATCAAATAGTATGCATTAAATAATGTTACTAATGGAATGTTTTACAATTAATTATATTGACTTGTGCCAAATTGATTTATTCATCAGAAACAATTCGGATACTGGTTATCAATGACAATGTACTAATTAAATCAATCATTTGATTTACAAAATGATAAAAAATGTATACAGTGTCAAGGTAGTTTATGAATCAATGATAACAATGAAAACGATTACATAATAAGTGAAAAGTACAAGTTGATGATGATGTGATGAGAGGTGTACTACTTTTGATAAGAATAATAAAGGTTTAAATCAATGTTACACATCATTATGCCAATTAATTGTATAATCTATTAGGTACAACCTTTCGCTGTACAAGTTATAAAAATGTACAATCGGAGACATCGGCATAACTGTCAATATGTATTGAAAACAATGAACATTATTCAGAGGTTGATTCATGAATTGCTAACATCTAACTGGTGATCACTCAATATCGATCAAGAAATAGGAGACGGAAACTCGCTGAAATACTTTGTACTGAGAATTATTCTATATTGTATCAGAAATATAATATTGAATAAAGCTACAATTAATAATAATAAGTTTGTTCGGTAAATAGAATCCAGTTTATGCAAACTTAATTTATATGCTTTCAAATGATTGAGTTCGAACAACGTAACTAACCCATGACGCTTAATCTACAACAAACTGCTGTTTTTTTGTTAACTGATATCGGTTAAAGCTACGTGAATACAATGTTGAAATTATTCCCTATAAAAGATGGCTAATATTCACCAAACTTCTGACTTTATTCTCTAGAAAAGATACTTTACTTTTTAATCCTGAGGTAGTTTATTATAAACAATATCCGGCAAACGAAATCCGTATCACTCGGTATTTCCAAGACTGATAGATTTCATAGTTTACGTCACTGACTTAAGTTGGACATGTAAGCTATTGGATCCGGGCTAATAGGTTTGAAAGTTTCTGATCCGATCTCTGGTGATGTCATGGAAGCACACTTATGAAAAGTGCCAAACTATGACGGAATAGCTTTCAAACGCTTTCTAAATTTCAGGGGTTGTTGGACAAGCAATTATTCGTGATTTAAAGAATGAGATGAAATTCTGTTAATGTTATTTCGAGTGGATAAGAACCATAAATCCTGAAACTAATGAAATTTTCTTAACACTATAACCATTAAGATTAATCTATAAACCGTTAGTTCTAGTTAGCTGACAAATCACTACTTTCCTCAACACTTATTTCGCACATACTAATACAACTAGTTTGTAACTGAATGAGAAATAATTTACATTCAGCTTAATAAATAAGTCTAATTAATGCTTCCATCCATTCACCCAATATTCATGAAAAATGCATCAACAATCGAATCCAGATAAATTCAGTTGATTGGTTTTAATTAAAACGAAACGCGCATCCTGAGTTTTATTACTAAAAGCAATCTATAGATTATAGATTAAAAACGCGAATTGTTTACAACTAAATTAGGTACGATATCTCCACCATCACTCATTAGTAGTTTATCTGAATATTCGCATCACCTAGTGTGACTACTGACAGGATTTTTGATTTCAATAACACTGTCGGAAATAAAATGGAGTTATGGAAATTACTGAATTTTATTGAAATCATGAACCGATGTCAGTTAGACAATCACTGAGAACCCGGAGGCTCTGAATGACCTCTTTGTCTTCATATGTGACTCCCCATTAGTGCACATCCATGACCCCGCGTCCTGAAACTGAACACAGGACCTTCATTATAGCACGAAAGCATAAACTCTAGATCATTAAGCCAGGATTCAATGGTGCGCAATTTCACCTTCAATCAACCTATGCTGTTGCATAGAAATTTCCTATTGTCTTTTCCATTATCGAATAGCATAGACAGAAAATTTCTAGGGTTCTCGTGAGATACCATGACCAACGGAATTCAACGATGTCGGGTGTCAAAGGAGTACCCACCGAAAACGTGCTTAATGGTTTGATTAAGAT